TGAATCAAAAAGACTACATCGAGAAAATGAACGATATACTGTCGAATGAAGATAAATTTTCCCAACCTTCCAATGAAAGAAACAAAAAGGAACAGATTGAGAAGCAGCTCACAAACGTCTTGAAGAGAATGAAGGCCAGTCAACTAATCAGTGAGGATATCTATGACCCGATCCGACCAACAAGTTCAATAATACCAAGACTTTACGGTCCACCAAAGGTACACAAGGTTGGTCTCCCACTTCGTCCAATTCTGGATATGTCAGGTTCCCCTTACCGCTCTATTGCAAAATGGCTAACAGATATTCTGGAACCTGTAAGGAAACAATTATGTACGCACTCGCTCCGTGACACCTTCCAGTTCATCGACTGCATACAAGACCTGAATGTATCTAACAAAATTATGCTGTCCTTCGACATTGAGTCACTTTTCACCAATGTCTCACTCACGGACACGGTCTGCTTCATATGCAAATATATAGATGAGAACCATCTCAATATTGGAATACTAACAACATATTTGAAGGAATTACTATTGAGATGCACTCTAAACGTCCAGTTCACATTCAACGACACCATCTACAAACAAAAAGATGGTATTGCAATGGGTCCACTACTATCAGATTGCTTCGTCGCAAGCCTCGAGAAAGGCCCACTAAAGCCAAGCATTGACAATTTACGACTGTATAAAAGATACGTAGACGAAATATCCATTATTTGTGACAACAACAATGACCCCAATCTACTGCTGAAGACATTTAACTGTTGCCATCCAGCAATAAAATTCACTCTTGAAATGGAAAACGAGTCAAAAATTCCGTTTCTTGATATGGAACTAACAAGAACTCATGGGAGCCTAAGAAGATCGACCCGTAGAAAACCTACTTGGAATGGTCAACTAACAAGCTTCTATAGCTGTGTACCCATTCAACAAATTTTTTTATTCCTTCACGTTCCCAGTGGAAAATAGGGCTTCAAGCTAGAGGCTTGAACTTTCCGTAGCAGTGTTTATTTTTACAGGATGAGGTTGCTAGCCTCATGCCCAACCTTTCCTCTTCGCCAGCTTTTTAGTTCTGGCTTAGCGAGGTAAAAGCGAAATTTAATTAAATCACTTGCCACCCGCATCCGACGCATCTGTAGTGCCGACGCTCTGGAAACAGAATTAGATATTCTAAGAGAAATTTTCATCCAAAATGGGTACCCAATGAGATTCATCGACAAAAATATCAAACCAAGAATTCGGAGAAACCAAACTCTACTTGCGCCAAAAAAGAAACTCTACATGAACCTGGATTTCAAGGGAGATTTAGCAAGCGGTATTCTCAAAAGAAGGATCACATCATCTCTGAGAAGAACATTCTTTGCAGCAATGCTAAGAATAGTATTCTCCAGTTGCCCACTGATCTGCAGAAGCCTCAAGGACAAGATCCCACATCTGACCACTTCTATGTGCATATATCAGTTCACCTGCTGCTGTGGAGCATGGTACATCAGTCGTTCGACGCGTACCCTATCCAAGAGGATTCAAGAACACTATCCAGCATGGTTGCGAAAAGGCAATAGTGGTTCAATAAGGAGCGCGATAATTGAACACCTTGTTAAAACTGATCATTCCATTTCAACAAACGCCTTCTTCAAAGTAATCTACAGAGTCGAAAATAACCTATCAAAGGCAATACGGTTTCGTCTTCTTTGTATCGCTGAAGCTCTGGCCATTAACATAGAAAAACCGGAGCTGTGCATACAAAAGAGGATTACTCAACCACTTCTACTGTCTGGGTAACAACTTTTTTGATTTGATTTTTTTTATTTTGATGACTTAATTTTGTTTCTTCACCTGTTCTTTAATTGCTTGTAATTCTTGTATTCATTTAGAACTCTTACGTAATTTCGTATTATCTACTTTGTTCCTATGTGCATCCTGAGTAAAACTCACTCATCAAACTATTCATATTATTACGTAACTTCTTTTAACAACTGTTTGTGACAACTCATCAACTTTGTTACTACCCTAATTTCAATAGCACCTAATTTTCTTGACTGATTTTCTATTACGTAACTCCAATTACCAGTTTTCACCTGTTTAGTTTAAATAACTATAACCAATTGTAATTTTGTTTGATAAACTTATTGTACACATACATATCAAACAACACATATATATTTGCGATTGTACAGCTAAGAAAATGAAATCGCCGAAAAGAGACTCTTCGCTGATCTACGTGTTTTGTTTTCATTAATGCCTGGATGGGGATTATACATGAACTCTTAAAACTAACAATTCTGACTATGGATAACTCTCTGGTGGGTTAGGTAAGTTAATCCATCCCCTTAAGGGAATCATTGTAGTTGTCTGGTCCGTCAACTGAAGCTTAATTGAATGTAAAAACAATCAGTCACTGTCTTCCTGCACCTATGCTTTATTCTTATTGTAAAGAGGAGGCGTAAATGTGCAACTAATTCAAAATTGTGCTGAAATTACACTAAAACAGTAGTCCGGAATCTAATCTCATGTAGTAGAGTGCCAATTCACTGGAAATGCCTCCTTTCCGTTTGAATGCTTTCACGACAAAGGAAATTCCTTCAAATACAGAGGAAAATATGTTTTTGAAAAGAACGGTTACTGAACAAAGAATATTCTTCTCGAGAACCTCCATTTCAACAGGTTCTACAGTTAGATTTACATAACAGTCAATGGATTAGTGTTAATAACAACATAACTGTTGTTTAAATAACGTCGAATCAATAGTAATAATGTCAATGGATTACAGTTCTATGGCATCAACATAACAATACACTGAATATCAGACAAATTAGGAGAAATCATAATAATAGAAATTCATGAATTTATAGTCTCCACTGAAGACCGGCCATGGTATTAGAAATGGCTGGCTGGACTTGCTTCTTATGCATACAGAGCACCGGTTTTTACAGGCGAATCGCGGTAGCCTTTTTTGTTTGGAGTATGCAGTATCTGGATACTTTTATTTGGCGCCTGAAAAAGTGTGGAGAAGGATTCTTCAGTGCTGCCTTTGTGGCCGTTTCGGACGAGGTGGTTTAACATCATGCTATTGATGCTTCTCACAGCACTTTTATTTAACCACACTGGTACATGTTCCCGAGCGACCAAGAAAAATCAAGTTCCTAGTGCAACGGCTAACATAACTCGCCTCACCACAAGTGCAGGTGAATAGACAGATACATTTAGAGGTGGCTAACCTGAGTACTTCATTTTTCAATTGAGGAGTCATTACCGGTAGTGCAGAAAATAAGACTTGTATTTTGTCAGCATTACAAGTTCTTTGAACTGGTTTTCTTCACTTTTTGGTAATTATTTCGCTAGATATATCGCCTTTGAATTGCAGGCGTATGTATAAAGGCTTCTTGTTTACGGATAGTGAATAGTCCTTTTCAACTTTCTTAGTCGCAAGATTCCTGATGAATTTGTCTGGATAGCTTTTTTCAATCAATGTATCATGTACAATCCTGAGTTCATCTTCACTTACCTTTTCTGAGCATATAGGTCTAACCCTGTGGCAGATGGTCCTTACTAAGTTTCTTTTGTACTGGAAAGGAACAAAAACAATTTAATAGACATTTTTAATCACTTGAATATAAGTTTACTTACAGATTTTAGCTTACTGTTTTCTTCATTCCTTACAGTCTAAGTGGAACATAAGGCTTCACACTTTTTGAAATTTCCAAAGTAGTGATGTTGCTTGCACTGGGCGTGGCTGCTAGCGTCATATTCAACCTTCTCTCCTTACCGATCTTACTACTGGCTGTTAAACATCCTATCACTGAACCACCGGCACACAGTAGAGTGATCCCATGAGAAAGACACCTTGTATTCATTAGTGAAAGTATTATTCATCTAGTCGATAGGAGAGGGTGGATAATGCAGTCTCAAATGATAAATATTTAAACTGTTTTTTACTTGACATGTTTGCTTTCATAAAACTCCACAGGTAGCTCTAATATTTGAGTCAGGGTTTACATATCATTCTTTATCTTCCATGCATTCAAATGATTTACTATATAATTTAAAATGAAAACATTGAGAAGAGAATGTCATTTATCCTCCGAGAAAAATTTCGCCTAGTCTTCATTACGAGATCAGAAACAACTTTCTATTGTGTGGACCGATTAGAAATAATAGCTTTCGAGATCTGGAATCGAACAGCAACATATTTTACGAAGCAATTATTTCCGGATTTCTTGATGCACTTTGTGCTTTCTAGTAAATATTGTGAAATTCTCCTGGTGACATTCCATAATATTATGCTGATTGATGTTGTAATAAGCAACAGTACTACAGTCAGCGATGTTAGTCAGTTTCACTTTAGTAAACACAGAATTGAGTCCAGAGTGTCTTGCCAATCACCTTCACCCACTTAAAGTCAATTCACAATATACAGCAATGATGCGCCACCTGGTATGATAAGTGCATAGGTAAGTTGACTGGTAGAATTCACTGAACAATGACAGTTGGACACCTTGCTGAGTGATTAACGTGTATCTAAAATACATTTAAAGTTTATACAGACGACAGTTTAGAGTTCTTTGACTAATTTAGTTGAAGCACTTAATAATCATTATCCTTTGTCTTTTTTTGAGTAATATGATACTTACCGTTTTAAAGTTGTGCTACTGACACCACAATTAAATATGCGATGAAATAAAAGTGAATTAGTAATACCTTTAATTACTAAATGAGAATGAAACACACGTATACTAGAAAATTCTGCAGATCAATAGATGTTTCCTTAATTTTCACTGGCTAGTAACTCTGAGGACGAATCATAGTACCACCCAGAGTTTTATTTTAATTGCAGTCATCAAATATGGCGTCGATAACAATTTTTTAGCAACTCAAAGGTATCCAAAATGGTCTCTCTTATTTTGCTGATCAGTACTTCATATTGCTAAATTTTTATATTTCTAGGATTTTTATTGATTCGCTAACACTTGCCACCTGTTTTGGTGTCTTTGTTTCTCTCAGGTGGTTTGCGTTATTTCCGCGTTGATGACAAAGAGTATTTAGCTTACCAGAGATATAGACGAGAAGTTAAACTTCGAGACGAACAGTAAGTTTTGTATTATATGCTTTACATGTTGTTCTCAACCAGTGTTATAATAAGTCTGTATGACATGATTTATATCTAGTGAAATACAAACTCAAAGATCTGTAGGCAAAAAACAACAAGTTGGCGGACGAGATAACAAAGGCACGACTTCATTTGAACATAGAGAAGACAGAAGTGATGCAGATAAACAACCAACAACATCAAGCATCAGTCACCTTCAATGGAACAAATCTTAGGGAAGTCATCTCTTTCATTCACCTGACCTGGACGGTTTCGAACAACTGCAGGTAGCGCGACTAAGAATGTCAAGGCCATCTGACGTCAGGTGACGAAAGCAGGACAGTCATTCTTCTACTCTGAAACCAGCGTGGAGGTCTACAGCACTCATTCAGGATAAGGAACAAGGTCAGAAAACTTAAAGCTAATGTTAAGTCACTGCTTTACATGGTTCAGACTGTAGACTTTTATCGACAATTGTCTTCTCTGTGTCAATCCTGAAGATCAGCTGGCTGGCCAATCGGAAAGGTTAGACAACTGGAAACTATGACGATAAGCAAACCGAGAACCTATCACCCGTTAAATATGCAGAAGGAAATGGAGATTGGAGACCGGACATACACTGCGGAGACCGTTGAGTGAAGTCATGCTCCAGGCCGTCGAATTGAAACCGAGTGGGAACTTATGAGATGAGTATAGGTCTGAGGGTGACATCCAGGTGATCATATGGGTAGGAAGTGAAAGGCAGTCCTGGATCCAACTAAAGAGGATAGAAGAAAACCGAGTGAAATGGAAATTTACTGCTGGAACAAACAATAATAATAATCCCACCTAAGTACTCCAGGTTTTTTCTGTTCATCTTCCTCTTGTTCCCATAATATGCAATTTATGCAGTGATTTGTTTACTGAGAAAGAACTTTTTCTAACAATTATTTCCTGCTTCTTGTAATCATGAAAGTAAACCAAATGACCACCAGTGGCAAACAGAAATGCACACAGTAAAACCGATAAATTTCCAGTGACTAATTTAGGAAGTATATATTATTCCTTATTTTAACGCCTAGTTATTTTCTCTCAGTATTTGAACAATACAGGAGAAACAAAAGGCAAAGAAGAAAGGAAGGGAAATCCGGAAAACGATTTAAAGTTCAGGTTCATACAGCACTTATCTTCTTGCTTATTTAGGATTAATACTGAAACTGTACTACTTTAAATTGAATTACTCACTATATAAAAATAGAGAAGCTTTATGTAATCTTAGTAGTATTTCTCAGATTTGATTAAATTGTAAAACGCTACAGGTAAAATAAACCAGTGAATATTAGTCACCATAAAATGTCTTGTTTCTGCTTACAGAAATTCACGCAAACTGAAGTAAGTTTCGAAGAATAAAGATTATTAGTCAAAGAACCTCTAAATAAGTATAAAATTTAAAAAAACGTCGTAAACCCGTCTTTGTAACTCACTAACCGTTTCTTAAAGAAGATAACTTAGTAGAAGAGCTAAAGATATGCTCTTTAGAGTTTCCCGTTAACTCGTTGGATTGACGACTAAAGTGGTCAAAAAATAGCTTTAGTTGTGTTTTATTTTATACCAGATTTTTAATGGTTCGCATGCCTGATTTCACTATTTAATTAGCAAAATGAGAGGTTGACAGTCAGGTGATCGGGTATTATTAGAAAAGTGGCTGCTCATTCAAATGCTGTTGTGAATTAAATTTCTAATACATTTTCTATGGTCATTCATTATTCAAACATCAATCTTTTTGGTTGGATACCAGTCAATAACTAGTGTACTGTGTGTGCCTAGTCCTATCTTTGGTGCAGACTGAATTCCATCAGTCAAGTTTGCAATGTGGATACAATGCTAAGTGGCTCGCCATCACGATGTACTATGAATTTTCGGTATTTAATGGTTGAAGGCAATCGGCAGTAAGCCTTCGACCTAGGTTTCGTGCTAGTTAGCACTCGTCAGCAACGTGTATCTGAAACCTTCAAGGAACTCATTTTTTCCCTACTGAGACTCGAACCCTCGTCACCCAGTGCTGCGGTCAGGGACGTAATTACTGAGCTCAGAAGAGAAATGAGTTGCTTCAAGGTTTCAGATACGCCTTGCAGTCGAATGACAACTAGCACGAATCCTAAGTCCAAGGCTCTCTGCCGATTGCCTTCAATCATCTAATAAACATCAGTCTATCATTAGAAAACTACCTCGCATTTTCATTATGGATAAGATTTTATTTTTATAAATCACACAGTGTTACACAGTAATATTAACTGATGACGTTTCGAGCACAAACTATTGCTCATAATCATATCAAGTTACTCACACAACTTTTTCCTGACATTTATATCAATAATACCTCGCATTTTCTTATTGACTGACGCATAGTGATAGTGAGGCCATCTGTGATAGACTTGAATTGGCAGACTGCTATTGACACAGTGGTTGATGAATGAATTTGAAATGAAAATCTTGGTGTCAGTCAAGTTAGAATCAGTAACCTTCAAGTTTACTATTTTGATATGAGTATTTGGCAAATGAACTAGAATATAGTGATCTAGGTTTCACTAATGTTTGAATCCATAGATCTTTGTTGATAGGGTTTCTTTGATTGACTTACGTGTGTGAACCAAAGCATCTTCTTTCAATAAGTGTAAGACATATCTTCATAATTTATTTAATCATACAAACTTCATCATTACAGGCAAAAGTTAACCCATTTTAGATATCACATTGATAATTTTTGTAAACAGAGGGACTGTTCGGTTTCAGGTTACAATAATAACGTCAGTCAAATGACATTACAAGAATTAGATCATCTCGATTATTTGTAAAAACCCTCCTGAGCATGTAGTATGTTCGTATGTTGCATGCACACCTAGTCATCCATGAAGACATCTGTTTACTTGAAGCATTTAAACAAATACCCTGTCAAGAAAACAGAAGCGTCAATTGTACGCAAATAGTTTATTGGACACAAATGAATCAAGCCCTTTGTGATCGTAAAGTCTATTCACAATGATTCTAGAAAGAAAGGCGTACCTATATTCGAAGTTTAAATAGGAAAAATGGTGAAGTTTTCAAAATGTCCTTTGGTTATGTACTATCCATTATATTATTGCAAGGACTGCACTCTTGTACAGTGTAAGACTGAAACTGCTGATAACAACTTATGATTCATTATGCTTTCTTCAGTTAATTGAACCAAATTATAAATAGAAAATAGAATAAACTAATAGGTAAATGTAGTTATTGATATTAATAACCTGATTGTCTGTGCTTAGAATATTCCATAGGTGTTTGAGAATAGAAACAGGTTTCCTAGGCCAGTGGCCTAATGCATATTGCCTCGAATTTTGAAATGTTGGGTTTCGGTTTTCATGTTACTGTCGAAATGTTGAGATGTAAGTAATTCCAGCTGATGAGTCTGTAATAAACAGACTGATAAACTGAAACCTGATCTCTAGACACCATTGCTCTACGCCACCAAAAAGATAACAAGTTATTCCGGCTAACTTGTAATAACTGTCAGCCTGAAGCTCACAGTTGCCATCTTGTATATTCAATTGCTTGTGTCTTCTTGAACTTAGTGGTGATGACTTATTCACGGGCTTTAGTATAAGAGTACCGTTTTTGTTTAACGCATAAATCAAAAGTTAGGAAGGCATGATGGAATTCTCACTTTTCTTCAATTTTCAATGATTCAACTCATTATTAGCACTCTGAACCTAATTCAATCAGAATCACCAAATTTCTAACAAAAGCAAAAAGTCCCACGTGGGCCGCACATGTTACTTTTAAAGTATATTCTATAATGGTAGGTGCCTTAATTCATTTTTGAAATAAATAACTTATTACTTTTAATTAAGAAATAGAATAATCTGGTATTTGCAGAATTACTGAAATAAATTCATTTCATAAACTGTCAGAGTGATGAAGCACGTGCATAGATAGCTTCATCAATTATTACCGTTTACTTATTATAAGTAAAATAAAAAATGAAATTTAATTAGGCTTGTTGACAAATAGGTCGACACTAATAATTAGATAATGATAAGTTGCAGTTATATTATGACGGCTGTTTTGTACTGTTTTCACTACAAACCTATCATTAATTTTACAACACAACTATTAGTAACCTCATCATCTGTTGCTTTTATCTCATGTACTAAACTCAAGACCAATGAATAAGTAGTGATTATTAGCAAATGGAGAGACTCAAGAGCACATGTATTCTCTCTTTATTTCGCCACAAACAGTAAGCCAGTTATTCCTGATCAAGACTGTATCCCAGTACTTCCATTTTCATTTTATAGGTTTGTTTTTTCGAACATTTTCAGATGCCTTGACTTAAAATTGAATGTCAGTTAGCTTGACACAAACATACACATCTGTGTTATGCTTTTACAGTAAACATTTTCATGATGAAGTCTAATACATTTGTGAGAGACTAATTTTGTTTTACTTTATCACTATGACAACGTCATAACCGATAGACAAAATATTTGTAATTATCTCTGTCACTTATCACGTATCTACTATGAACGAACTTTAATATACCCTTGTTTCTTGTAAAATATAAACAATTCAAACCTTATCTGTGTTGTTTTTGCTAACTTTACTCGTGAATTAATATGACACATAAAGATTAGTGTATGATTATTTTTATTATCACTATTGTACATTGAAAAGTATATTATTAATGATATATCATTTATCTGTATATATTTTTGTATTTAATAGAAGAACGTAAGTAATACATAATATAATTCTTCGATATGATCGCACTTTATTTACAAATATTGGCTTGCAGTAACTTTCTATATTATATCACCTGATAGCAGAGGGATCAAAACGTTTAGATTAAAAGAGAAATGAAGACGCCTAATTAACCAACTTATTCAGTTACTTTCCAATTGTATTCTATAGATATTCCATGATAGGAACAAACTAACAATCCTTATCTCATAAATATATAATCTATCTTAAGTCGAAACAATTTTTGTGGAAGAAGATGACAGAAGCTTCGTAATACTTGAATATTTGAAATAGTTGAAGAGAAAATGGAATAACTAATGACACTTTTACATTATCAGTTGGTTGGCTAAACTGCTCCGTCCATGGTAGAATATCGGCGCTTCGCATGTATCTTGAGATTAATCTAGTGTTATCGAAATCATTGTAGCTACCAGGAGAATTCTGAACAGGCTTCTTGGCTTCGTTAGCTGAATGTACTTACATGAGTTGTAGTGTTCCAGTTGAAACCCGAACGTATCGTGTCAAACACCAAGGCGTTAACCATAAAAACATTGCATACCAAAAGCCGCTTCTTACGCAACGGATATTATCTGAAATTATTTATGTACAGTTCTGACTTTCCTGTTAATATATATAGACCAGATTGATCAGCCTAATTTTAGTAAATGAACTCCTTTAATGGCTGCCATCGTGTTTGTGTAGTTACTAACCAAAGGTTACATGTTTGGTGGTAGCTAACACTGAAATCCAGGTGACATATTTTGTTTTAATTGAGACTCGTCAATTGAATTTCTTTGCTCCTAATAGAGTGGTAGTATTCTTACTGGTGTGCGTCGGTGGCAATGTGGAAAGGACGCTCGCCAACCATGCACATGGTCCGGGGTTCGATCCCCGGCCGCCAACGCACTCCTTTACCTCGCTAAGCCAGAAATAATGCTGGTGAAGAGGAAAGGTTGGGCATGAGGCTAGCAACCCCATCCTGTAAAATAAACACTGTTACAGAAACTTCAAGCCACTAGCTTGAAGCCGTATGTTCCACTGGGAATGTGAAGGAAAAAAAATTCTTACTGATACTCAAACTCAGTACCCATCGTTTGAAATGTCAAAGAGTTATTCACTAATCTACTGAGTCATGAGAGCCATTTTCTATGCAAACAGTACTGGTTGATAACTTACTGAAACTGGCAGATCGTGCTAGAATTTAAAATGATGATGCCTCCACTCACTGATGAGATCAAAGTGCGACAAAACCTGAGTCATATATTCCATCGCCAGCCACCATCAACTTAATAACACAAAGAAAACGGAACACTTAAAGCACTGTCATTTACGAGGAAAAACTTTGAAGATTCACTTTATTTGGTGAATATTATTTTATGTTTGGAAAAGTATGTTTCAACTGTCGGTGATGGCTGCTGTCAAATAAATATATATACAGACAAAAGGATGATGACGAAGGTTAAAGCAGTGTTTTATACTACTCAGACACTTCAGTTTTGAAAAGTATCAGGTAATGCGTAGTGAAACATGCATACTGTTAGTGTAGAACATTTTGTAAAATTCAAGTTTAGAATCCATGTAAGCCATACTAAATTTTCTTCAGATATTCCCCTTACTTAAAGTGATTACTACACAACCACAGCTGAAGACTTAGGTGAAAGTGACAGATAGATGTTTGCTATATATGACTGCTTTTTTTTCATCTGCTCAATGGCTTTCGCCTTTTTCCCCTGTAATAAACAGAATAAATTTACTAGATGCCTTCTTGACATTCTGTCTCTTTCCAGGATATTGACAGATAAGGATTATGCTCATCATTCCCATCACAGTGAATCACCTTGGTTATTGCATGCATCTGACGCCTGATGTGTACTTCTTTAAAAACAAAACTTTCCACTAATTTATCTATAATTCTAACAGATATAAACAGTAGTATACATATATATATGCTTCACATCTTTCTAAAAATTCTAAAACTTCACCAATAGAAGCTAATCCTTGCATTCTTTAACAAAATGAGTCAATTTATTCTTCCCTATTATTTTAAATTTCGATCAGATATCTAAAACAAAAAGATTGCAATAACACTTTGCAGGATTATTTTGCAAAAACCCTACTAATCATTATTTGTGAATAACCTCAAAACTTTCATGTTCATTATTATTATGATTATTATCGTTGTGAGGAGGAAATGATATTTTAAAAGTTGTTCAGTTGTCAATGGTTATTAACTTCACCTGGTTGTATACATGGCTACACTAGCACTATTTGTTTATCTGTTTGTTTTCGTTTTCGCTACTACTTTAAATCCAGTGTGAATCTTCTTTTGTTGTTGTTTTTATCAAAGAAGAAAATCAAGTTCCCACTTTAATTCTCTTTATATCCTTCTTCTTGTTTCTATTCTTCTGCTTATTTTTATCATTTATTACAGTTTAGGTGAATATATTTTGCCTAGTGTGAATTCAGACAGTGGTAATAAAAAACCAGATGAATCGCAAGAACATGAGATAAAGGTAAGTTGATCATTGTCTTCATTCGAAATCAATGACTAAAACTAAAGTCAATTAGAATGTTTCAATTCAATCCATCAGATCCTAGATTCCCATACAATCACCATGGAGACAGAAGTGTTATAATGTCTTTTTGATTAACATTAAACTATATTGTATGCTGTTGTAATCCAAATAGCTTCCAAAGAATAATTAGTGTATTCATTCATGCATTGATACACTCAAAGAACATTCATACAATTAGGCATTGTCAAAACTTGTTTTGCTTTGAAGTAGTAATAGTCAAATAAGCTTTGTGTAATTCAAAAAATTATAATATACTATGTAAAGCATAATCTAGTGTAGTAGACACTCACGAGACAACAAAATCAAATGAATTTTGTTATCCGTCTGCGCCTACATCTACTAAATGATACGCCAGACTAACAATGAAAAAGAAAAACGTCTGAGATTTGAATAAACCCACTGAAGGTTTTATTGTGTGTAGGTGCTTAAAATCTAAAGAAATCAGCTTAAACCTACAGTGTTTTTTTTCATAAAATTTCCCTGTATACTGTATAGAACGCATACATAAACGCTTGGAACAAGGTTTAAATAAAGTGAATTTCGAAGAATAATAATAATACTTTATGAGTTTAAAGGAAAGCGTTTTTATAGATCGCATAAAAAGTCACTGGTTTAGCGTAAAATTTCACCTACGTAATTTTATTTCAGTTCTTCAAAGACAATATTTCGCGTAGGTTTTCTAATCTCATTGCCTACTTTAATCTAGAGGGAGTGAAATTTTACAACTGATTTACTTTAACACTGTAATTATAAACTTTACAATTTCTGTTATTGTAATCCATTGTTGAACTGTCTGTTAAACAATTTTCACCACCAGTTTCTTAAAGCATGTTATGTACAGTTCAAGTTGAGTACACTTCTATTTGTTTAAATGTTTAGCGTTTTTCTATGATGTTGGATAATTTATAACTGACTTTTATTAGCTTAGTAGATTCCTTTTGTCACTTAAAATACTTATATATTAAATGAAAAAAATGTGAAGTACATGTTAAAACCATCATCTAAACATTCTATATGAAGAAATAAATTTTGATATTCTTTTTCTCAGAAATATTTCACTTTAAAAAACAAAATAATTGAGCAAAGAATATCCTGCTCGATAATTTCCTCTTCTGGCTCTACAATTATATATATATATATATGTTTTTACACATTGAATATTGTAGAATAGTAGTCAATAACAATGTTAGCGTTTTTTAAATGATACCAATTTGTTAAGTAAGATCAATGGAATTACAGTACATTAAAAATGCATAACTTATAATAATAATAATAATAATAAAGTAGTAGCGAATAAAATATAAACTAAAATTAGGGAAATCTCCATAAAAAATGAGGATCATTCAAACCTAGATGTTGGCCAAGGTAAGGATAATGTCTGAACTAACTTCTTTTAGACGCATAAATTAGGCTTCTTAATATGGATCACAACGGCCTCAGAAATATGTAGTAGACGAACTCTTAAGGCGAAATTGAGATTAGTTGGTATGCAGTAAATGACTTTGAAAGCCTCGTTGACATCAATTTTGTGTTCTGTATCCACAGGATAAGATAGAATAGCGCTACGGATAGCTCTTGTTCGTCCATTCCTTAAGCACATAGGGTGATGTTCGGAAATCCAATGAGAAACACGCCTGACTGTGCGGCCTATGTAACTAGCTCCACAGGAGTAGTCAAAGTTATTTACCACATACCAACTAATCTCAATTTCGCCTTAAGAGTTCGTCTACTACATATTTCTGAAGCCGTTGTGATCCATATTAAGAAGCCTAATTTATGCGTCTAAAAGAAGTTAGTTCAGACATTATCCTTACCTTGGCCAACATCTAGGTTTGAATGATCCTCATTTTTTATGGAGATTTCCCTAATTTTAGTTTATATTTTATTAGCTACTACTTTATTATTATTATTATTATTATTATAAGTTATGCATTTTTAATGTACTGTAATTCCATTGATCTTACTTAACAAATTGGTATCATTTAAAAAACGCTAACATTGTTATTGACTACTATTCTACAATATTCAATGTGTAAAAACATATATATATATATAATTGTAGAGCCAGAAGAGGAAATTATTGAGCAGGATATTCTTTGCTCACTTATTTTGTTTTTTATAAATGTCTGAGTGAATATTTTCGCTATATCCCACTTTGTCATGATATATAAAACAAAATATTACAGACTCATGTGTACAAAACATACGTGAGAACCGATTTTGCAAACTACAGTAGATTGCAACAGCAGTTTTTAAGAATAGCCTTTTCAGAAATCCACCTAATGATGTGGAGTTAAGCGATGTGGTAACGATAATAATGATTACTTTAAACTTACGTATTTTTTTATCCTTCATTTTCCCCAGTGGAACATAGGTCTTCAAGCTAGTGGCTTGAAGTTTCTGTAACAGTGTTTATTTTACAGGATGGGGTTGCTAGCCTCATGCACAACCTTTCCTCTTCACCAGCATTGTTTCTGGCTTAGCGAGATAAAGGAGTGTGTCGGCCGGGGATCGAACCCCGGACCATGTGCATGGTTGGCGAGCGTCCTAACCGCTATGCCGCCGACGCTAAACTTACGTATTACATGATAGAATAGTCACTACACCAATAAATTTATCATAAATTGTGATCCATTGACGTCATGAAGTGTTGTGGAAAACTTCTTTAACAAAAATTTCAAGATTTCATACGAAGAAATTCTTACCAAATAGTTAACTTTCATAGGATGCATTGCAGATGATTTATACAAGTCTCCAAGACTAAAATCTGTGCTATTATTATTGTGACATTTAATATCGTATCCAGTCTTTTGTTTCATGTGATAGCATTGACATATTCAGTGTACCCTTACAAATGTTAGCAGCCAGTAGTTGGTGTTGGTACTAACTGAATTCTATCAGTCAAGTTTGTGGTATGAACGCGAAGCCAGGTGACTCGCTATCCTGGTGCACAACGACTGGACGGTAGATGGTTGAAGGCCTTCAGCATGAAGCCGTAGACCTATGTCTCGTACTGTCGGCACTCCTCACAAACGCGTATCTACAGCCTTAGAGGAGATGTATCTTCTTCTGTTAATCAGACCTGAATCACCCAATGCTGTAGTCTTAAACGTTAACATCGAGCTATTCGGGCTAACAACTTATCTGTAAGACTACAATGAATACAATAATTTGTCACTAGGGAGTAACCAATGTTGTCCGTCTTGTCTTTGGCGTTGTCGTTGACTGAATCCTATCAGTCAGGTTTGTTGAAGAGTGTCAACAAGCATAAATTTTAGGTCCAGGACTTCCTGCTGACTGCTTGCAATCGTCTAACACAGTTAATACTTGCTACAACAGGCAAATCTCGTTACCACTTCAGAATTCTTTTATGACCCTTGCTCCTAGTAGAGCATTTCAAACGAAGACCTTTGTGGCGGACCAGCTCAACACACCTTGCATGAAAACAATGACAGATATGTGAACACTTGCCCAAACTTTATTAAACAAAATTTACCTGTTAGTAAGACGTATTTAACTTAAAACGCAAGCCAGCGTCTTCATTCAATACAATAAAGATTAGCAATATTAAGAACAACTGTCAATTACTCGGAAAAATGGACGCTGTAGTTGGGTCCAGGAAATCCTGAATCAGTGGTCCTTCCATCCGACCAGATAATAAAGTCTCTTCAGTTGAAACATCTGTGTGATTACATCATTGAACATCTGTCATGCTTGACTTTTTTCTATGATTTAAAAGTAAACTTTACGATAAGTTCCACCCATACATTTTTAGTCGACTCTGATGACTTTCAGGGAAAAGATGGCTGTAACAATGATGCTGCTACATAACTGTATTAACTGGTAGTCTGTAACAGAGAATGTTATTAAAACTCAATACCGAAAGGAAATTTAACGTCTGAATAGTTGAATTGGAGAACACTACACATTTTGATTGCCTGCCAGCTGCATCAATCAGATACGATAGTCTAACAAATGTAGTACTTTTTCTAGAAGTTCTGGATTAAACATGTTTGAGTAAAAGTTCGACTTATTTTCAAATAAAATAATATTGAAATACGCGCGAATTGGCTAACATTTATACAGAAGACTTTGAGTGAAACATACTGCTGAGCTTCATGAAAAGATGGAGTATTCATCAATATTAATCTGTGTACTAGACGCAGAATATGTAATCCGTTTACTTTTTCAGCTTCTCTGTCGTTTTGAAATGTTTTTGCTTAAATTCTCCACTTCTTGGTGTTGAGCACATAATTATTATTCCCTCGGGTTCTGAGCAGAACATAGGACTTCAGCAGCACATCTCCATTTTGTCCTATTCTCTGCAGCCCTCTCAAGCTGGCTGCATCATTGCTCATAAGCTTTTATCGCCTCCTCATGCGATCTCCTCCATGTCACCTTAGGACGCTCAAAGTGTCGTTTCTTATTTGGGTCCACTCGATAGATGGCTTGTCGCGTGATGTCACTCAGCGGTCTTTTAAGTGTATGTCCAATCCATCTCCATTTTCCTCCACATATTTGAGCAATAAACTTTTGATTGGCTCGTTCCCAGAGTTTCTTGTTGCTTATTGTTTCTGGCCATTTGTTCTTCAATATGGAGCGAAGGTAGCTGTTGATAAAGCTTTGCAGCAAGCTTTTGGAGACCCTTTCCGTGACGCACCAAGTTTCCGACCCATATAGAAGAATTGACTAAACAATGGTTTTGAAAATACGAATTGTGCTCTTTATGCCGACTACAGCAGACTTCCAAACTGATTTCAGAATGATGTAGGCCAGCCTTGACATCCTCATCTATGTTGCCCGTAATTGAAACGATAATGCCTGGGTAAGTGAAGGAAATGACTTCTTTCAGATTTCTCCTGTTGATAATGACTGGTGAATGTTGTCTTTGGTTAGGCAAAATTAACTGTGAGTTATTCTATTGAAAGTTAGTACTTGTCATACCAAGTGATAGGCTTAGGTAGCAACCAAAATATGTGATTTGTTTGGCGGAATAATTAATCAGAGCTAGTATTTCCAAACACTTTACACATGAAATAACTCCTCGGAAAAAAATAAACGTTTATTTGGTAAACAAAATATGAGATATTTAACCTCACAAACTCATGCTAAACATGTGGTGAACAGTTTACAAAATATGTATTAACTTTTAACATTTTCAGGCGTTTTACTTTATCCCTTTACGCTGTCAGTACAGTTTTTGTTTTCTTCTGCAGAGTCCCTAGTTCGCACTCTAACCCGTTATACAATAATTTACCCTCTTTATGTGATATACTTTCTCATTCTAATTCAAGTTTTCGTTCAAAACAGGATGTTTTCAGAGGTGATGTGACTGAACCTCGTACCAAAATAGTAAAGTGGTATTCCAGCCCCTAATTCAGTTTTAGGCACAAACTTTTAGTGTATTACTTTACCATAACCAATGCAGAAGAAAGTGTGGCGAACTTTTAACATTCTTAGTCACGAACAAAGACGAATGCGAGCTATGACAGTACTTTTTGAATAACTTTCTTCATGTAAATAAACGTTATGACACTGTGATAAGAAGGGGACAAATACTAACTATTTCTGACGGGAAATGTTTCCTTTCCTTATGCTGATGTGCATTTACCTTGAAATTTATCTTTAAAATTAGTACACTGAGTATATTTTCTAAGAAAATTATATTGCTCATTTAAAGTTAAAAATATTTTCATCTTACATTTCTGAAAGTAGCTTGTGGACTGTGGTATCACAAAAGCTTCTGCATTCCAGTGGCTACTGATTTCATTTACTTGCTACTACTATCCCGTTGTTAAGATTGATACTTAGGATACCAATCTGACCTGAAAACAACTAATTAATTAACCTATGCGTGAGATTTAGGAAGGGGCTAGTTTTGATCATATAGCCAATAAATCTAGGCTCATTAACTAGATAACGACTTACTCGACTACTCTGAACTCGGTGCTTCATGAAGTGGTGAATGTGTACTACAGAAGGACTTCAAAACCATGACCAAATAGATGGTCAGTGTTTATTTCGTTTTCATTAATTGCTTCGCTTATAAAGCCTACTGATTAATTCTACCTTGGGGTCAATAGTATTCAATGAGCACATAATTTTCTCAAATTCTCATGTCAGAAGAATTTATCAACTTCCACCCATATACAGAAATGTATGTGGTGGTAATTTGTCAATCAGCACTCAGGTCGTCAAAAATTAAGTATATCTTCACTGACATATTTACAAACGATTTTCACCTACAAATGGAAACAAACTGACGTTTCTTATCTAGTAGGTGTAATAATTTATAGAATTGGTTGAAGTTTCAACATCATCTACATTATGTATGATGATATTATCGCTTTTCCGATGCGCTTATTAGTACTAAACTGTTTTTCATGCATCTGTAACTGTCATATATCGTTTTGGTTTCACTTGTATCTAAATTTTAAACAATACTAAATTTAAATGGTGCGTCATAATTTAAACTAGTTTTTAAGCTATCACATAACAAACAAGCACACCTACTATTAGTGTACTTGTTTTCCCTGGTTATATTTAGTATTAAAAGATAAAATCAATCCATGTGTCAATTTTTAAAAAGCTAGTGATACTACTGAAAACATTTTTATGTATTTTGACTGTTATAAACAGTCTAAAGATAATTAGAAAGCTCAATCATCAAATCCAGACCACACTTTATATTTCATACTGTCGATCAGTTCGCTTAGAGAAACCAGAGTTCACAATGAAGTGATTGACTGTTTGTTTCATTGAAGAAATAAAACTAAAATGTAACTAGATTTGAAGAGTAGATTCCAAGGTTACTGACTGACTACTATACTAACTAGTTTATCTGTTGAACAAAATGTATTGATTTCACTTCACATATTCCATAATTTTATATACATGCTTGCAATTTAGTTTTTACTATAAGTTTAACTTAGGCAACAAGTAGATATTGACTAACATATAACACCTAACTGAGGAGTATCAAGTTTCTATAAAAGTAGTTGAAACTTAGTTTACAATCGAATCATATAGCTCTACTGATTGATACAATAGTAACAGTGAGTAGTGTACAAGCTGTCAGTTTAAATTACTCTATGAATAAGATATTTTTTCCGAAAGGGTTTCTACTGTTCATTTCTTACTGCATTTCTGGTTTATGTATATGCGCAAAATATTGCTTTCCCTAACCAAACTAGATTATTTTTCTTTATTTGTATTGGAGGAAAGCACTGGTTTTTGTTTTAAATTAATAAATACGTAACATTTTCTAGGTCACTTTTTGAGACCTGTTTAAACAAAACGCCTCATTTTCTTTTTCACAAGCTAATTGATTTTGATACCTACTGGACTGTATATGATCAGAATAGAATAATTGGAGAAATACCTCATGTGAAAGTCAACTGTTACCATCATACTGATAGAAGAATAAAAAATGGTGAGACTAATGATCATTCTTATTTCATCTAAAAAGAATGATTCATCTCCTTTATCAGTATATCTAACTGGGCTTTTTTTAAACAAAATTTATCTTTCAACATTTTAGAAGTGAACAATAAACTTTCGAGTGGTGCAGAGCATTCAAGACAAACGGAAAATCTTGGGCAGTCTACTGGGAATGTCATGCTTTACTATGCTGTTACTGAACAGAGCCATACATCACTGCCGTCATCTCCTCTAATTCTGTTTCCCCTAAAAACTCAACTTCACACTACACAAAAATAATCTGGAATCTTTTTTTTCACTCAAACTAGTTAGTAGATATATGTGTGTGTGGGTTGATGCACTTGTTCATGAGTTCAAATCTTAGAATAACCAATAAATCTCAATTCGAATTATCAATATCGCAATTACATATTTATTTGATTCAATGGGTTTTGACCTCTGGTATGGGGACTCTCACAGTGAAACACATATTACCCCCATTTCTTTGATTGTTTTACTTTTCTAATAGTTGTATCTGTCTTTCCTATTTTTATATTGATATTTTGTTCTGAAATATTACTTGTCTGATTCAATATTCCTAAAATTTACTATGTACATATGCTAAACGAATAAACGCACAAGTTTTTTCTTTACAGCATATCTCTTTTATCATATTTCACTTAATGATACATCTGCGAGACTATATGAACTTCCCAGATCATGGAAATTATCCCAATGAAAAGTCAAAAAGGCAGTTTTCCTGAATACAAGATTTCAACCATCTGCGGATTGTTTGTTTTGTTTGTTGAAAAAGTCAACGTCTTTAGTGTTTGCCTATCCTGATATTTTTCTTATTCTGAGTACATGTTAGGAGGAGAAGTGAATTTAGGCCTATTTGTTAGCAAAAATGTACTATTTCACTTCAGATTATTTCTATCTGAAGGATAGAATTTACCGGTAATCATGACAATGACACTAATTGTAGCGGCGTACTTCGTTGCTATGTTAACCTAGTAACATAAGTAAGCTTTTTTGAAATATTTCGACATTAAATTTTGAATTGGAAAATTGTTCTGAGATGCTTATTTTCGGGCTGTTGTAAAGTTTTTGCTAGTTTGTAGCGTTAAATGTTGTTTGATACCCATATCTAGACAGCAAGTTTCAAAGTTAAATGATAAACACTGACATTTTCATGATTTTGCGATAGTATATGTGGCTTACTTCATCAGACATGCTTTGTTTTATAGCGTCAAATCAAACTTCGGTATACAATATAATCGCCCGTTATAAAACAGTTTGTCAAATATAGACCCTTTAACAGAGCTTCACATATTTCTGTTTACTTTCTGACTTTGAGATTACTTTGTTGAAATGATAAAATCCAGTATAGAACAAAATATAACTGAAAATAGGATCTGAAAGTGTTGTTTTGCAGGGATTTGGTTTGATTAGTTACGGGATTTCATCCTGAGTTGACATCAGTCAGAGGGCCATTGGAAAACCTTCAGGGAGTACTGGACAGCTGTTTCGTAAGACTAGTTTGAGACTCTTCAACAGTACGCGAATTTGCAGGAGCTAGAATTCATGGGTTATTGGATCATATCCCATTGGCTGAATGGCCTGCGAGCTCACCTCGTAAATGGAATGCCCTGGGTTCGAACCCTGGTGGGGGCGAACTGATCTCGTTTAAAACCCTTACATAATATTTTCAAAACCTGTTAAAGACCATCTTTAAAACAAGTATAACTAATGGGTATCCTTAATATAAGTGGTTAGGTTAAATCAGTGGTTTAAACGACTTAGCAAACCTCTTAAATATCAGTGTACTATGTATGTCTTCATGCATCTAGACCACTAATGTCTGATTTATTTTTAAATATTGAACATGTGGCATTCCGAAAATTTGTGAATTTATATGTACTATGGTTATATTTGTATCTAGTTAACTTGAGTTACATCATCCTAATAAATAACAGGAGCCCAATTATTTTCTATCAATTATTCTGCCTGATCCTAACCATTTGGAAAATGGGTGTGCACTTGTAATTAATACTGGCTATTATCGATGCAATATTAGACCTCCCGGATATAACCATTAGTGGGAAGAACAGTTTCGTTTTGGCACTATATTGTATAGGAAGTTAATGGGTCACTCATCGAAATGGGTCAACGCCGAACTTTTGTAAAGACCAGAACCACCTTCTTCATGTATTAATACCATGGCACTTATGTTAAGTTAAAGCATTTGGTATTCGACAGTTCGGATCATATGATCTCCCTGATTGATAAAATCTGTCTGTGCATTACTAGATGGTCTGCTGAAAGAGTTACTTCTACATTCGTTTTCTATTTTTCTTTTTTAATAGCATCTCAATCTGTAATTTAGAATAAGCATTATGTAATTCGATATTTTGTCAGTGACTGTTACCGTATGCTTACTTCATTGAACTAATTTCCTCCTTCGAAATACCTTTCACATTAACTACATACTAAATTCAGTTAACGGCTAGAACTCTAACCTTCTCGGTTCTCAGAAATTAACTGAACTTGACTAACTGCTTATGTGGTGCAGCCAAAGGCTTAACCAAAGAAAGAAACATGCCAAGGATACACTAACAATGCAACACCATTCTTCAATATGATACACAGAATATGAAAATGTCCGGAAATAAAAATGTTACTGATAAAGAAAAAGTCTTACAGTGTGGTCATGAACACTGGAAATTCTGTACAGAATACTTAAAAGAGGTAGAATTAAAGTATGGCAAACTTTTCTAGCCAAAAGATTCCATTCATTTATTTTAATTGTATGGAGGATTTCATCATGAGCTGACATCAGTTAGAGAACCACTGGAAAACCTGGGAGTACTGGACAGCTGTTTCGTCCTAGTTTGGGACTCTTCATCAGAATCCCATCTATCTACTTCAAAGTAAATGGATCAGATAATTCAATAAGGGTTACTCAGGATGTAGCAGTGTATAAGTCTAACAAATTGTTGAATGAAAGGAGCATAATTACAACGTGAATTTGTGCAAATGCATCTAGACGATATCCCACGATTTTGTAGGAAATAATTATTGAGTTGCAAGAAATAGCGTAGTTCGTTGAAAATGAAGTTTCATCGCCGATTCTCCAAGATTTCAAAGAAATCGGTAAGGCTAAAGGTTAACCGACATTCGGTAAAAAAGCTAACTATTAAACCTATAGTGAACCTCATAATCTTCTATAGAAGGCTAGCTTAACGTGTACCTTTTTAGCTTTAAATGTTATGCTACTTATATTGGAATAAGTAGCTTCATGCATGTTTTTGAAATTTATGTTTTTCAGTATTTCACCGAAACAGTCTATTTGTTAGCACTTATAAGAGTAGCAATTTGATTTTCCTACTTCTCATCATTCGACTAAACAGACAACTACACTTATATGAAAAAAAATCATGCAACAAATTCATAACATGACATTTCGATAAAAATAACACTACCAAAATAAAAGGCTCGCTATTTTTTGCATTCCTTCTATTCAGTATAGTGCGAATTCTCGGATTGTAAAAATAAGAGTTGTCATTCAACGAGGAAACAATCATTTTGCTATATGATTTAAGGTAATATATGAATTTCATTCCAATCAACTGTAGAAGAAAATAAAGAATTAGACTAGACTTAATGGTGTACAGTTGTCAGATGTTGAATGAAAAGGATATTTTTATTCAGTAATATTTAAGTCTGACGAAAACTTATCAAAATTACTTTTTATGAAATAAATGAGAAAAAGTAAGTCACTTTAACTGACTGTATGAATAGCCACCGATAAATGTTTCATAATGGACTTTGTTGGATTAGTATTGAGATCAGGCGCATCAGGATTTTCCCGGGAGCTTGTTTTTTCTAACGGTAATGAAACATCTGATTAATTGTGAAGATACATTTATGCTCAGAACTGCATGTTAGCCTATAGATACAAAGGAAAATGTAGACAATAGAATTTTACTCTTCAGACATGAGGATAGGATGGAAAGACGAGAGAGAAAGAAGGGATGTAAAGTAGGAATTATCACACCAAACAACGATTTCTGAAATATATATGGGAGATAGCACCTTGATTTGTCAACTATTCAGACTATGAAGGAATAAAATATAAACAGACTTCAAAACCGTCAGTGTCACTTTTGTCTAACGTTTTTATTGGTAATTTTGTCTGGTTCTTTCGAATACTTGGATAGCTATCTACTTCTTTTAGCTAAAATTAGTTTTCCATATCATACTTTATTACTGCCTAATACTAGATACTTGTCATTTGGCCCTGGCAAAAGATTCTGTTTCATTTATCTCTGTGGTCAAGCAGCAAACAAGCACGTGGTCAGTGGTTCAACTCATAGTCAACGAGCTCCTAAACTTCATTTAGCCGGTAGTAGGCCAGGTAAAGAGAGAAGGTTAACTTCACCTGTTAAAGGATGAAAAGAATAACAGGACAATTAGTGAACTTTAAAAGCTCAAGCTTACAACTCCGTATTCCATTCGGAACGCAAAAGAAGAAACAACTCCAAAGGCCACTGGAGGAAACCACTCTTTATAAGCGCTTGTTGATTGTCGTGCGCGGGCTTCGTCTTTTGAAATGCGTCTTGCAGACAGAATTCCGATTCGTCTTTCATGCAAAGAAATCTTTATTTATTCTTAGGCACTTCATAAGCATGTATTAGTTAATTTTTTGCATTGTGTGATGCATTTTTACGCCAGAAGAAGCGCATAGCGGTCAAGTGGCATTACTGAAGTATCTAGTTTGTGATATGATTCAGTAGGACATCTGTCTGTCTGTCTGTCTGTTTTCGACATAGAACTTTGCACATATGTGCGGCAGTTCAAGTCGCCACAATCCATGTAGCACGCAAAGCAAGAGAAGGAAGTAGAAGAAATGCAAAATATAGACAGTAAACAGTGGTGTGAGACAAAGGAATAGTAATAACGGAGAACAAAAGTTTAATTGGAAATCATAAGTCACAAGGAGTGGATGCATCTGCGCCACTGAGAACGATTTTGAGCCATGTCGCCAATTGTTTCCAACCATTGGTTTTTACCATCCCGAGGGCCCCAACCAGGAAGTCTACATCTTCCTACGTGGCTTAGATTAACTGTTGTGGATTTCATTGATTGGTGCCATGTTTTGGTTTGACCGCCGCTAGCTCTTTTCCAGCCTGACCCTATATCAGCTAACATTGCCCGTCGAGGAAGGCGATGACTAGGCATACGTAGCACATGTCCTAACCATCTCAGTCGATGCAATTTCACAGTCTCGTCGATTGATTTCCCCGCCTTACCTAGCACTCGACGCCTAACCTCAATATTGCTCACCTTATTATTCCACTTCACGCGGGAGATAGAACGCAGACACCTATGATCGAAGACAGCTAATCTTTTCATGTCTTCTGCTCTCAATGGCCAGGTCTCACAGCCATAAAGGAGGACGGAGCGGACTGTTGAGCAGTACACACGCCCTTTGGTCGATAGTCGGATATCGCGTCTACGCCAGAGACGGCGAAAACTGGCGAATGCGAACCTAGCCCTCTGTATTCGTGCTGAAATTTCGTCGGAGATCAACCCGTTGGGGCTGATGGTACTTCCCAAGTAAGTGAAGCGGTCAACGTGTTCTACCACTTCACTTCCTATTTCTAATCTAGGGGTCGATGAAGTCCAATCCTGCAGCATCATCTTACATTTTATAGGGGCGAATCGCATGCCAAACATGCGGAGGTTGTTGCTCAGGGTGTTCAGTAGACTCTGCATTTTGTCAGAGTCCTCGCCTAGAAGGACTATATCGTCCGCGTATTCTAAGTCAACGAGATTCTTCCCTGGTAGCAAGTCAATCCCTGAGTCGCTGAAGTGAGTTAGGGTTAAGTCCATTAGTACATCTATGATGAAATTGAATAGGAATGGGGATAATGGGCATCCTTGACGGACGCCACTAGTCGTCACCACTTCAGATGACAACTCGCCATAAGCCCTCACCTGGCTGCATGAGTACGAGTAGAGTGCCTTAATCAGTGCAATGTATTTTCTTGGCATTCCCTTTACAGCCAAGCATCGCCAGAGAACCTCCCGGTCGACGGAATCGAATGCCGCCTTTAGGTCAAGAAATATAATG